TCACAGAACCCTTGAAAGAGCCAGGACTGACCCAAAGCGGCCCCATATGCGTCTCGCAGAGAGCCACAAATCCCAGGAGGTACTGTTTCCAGCCTCACTGCAAGAGTTCAGGTTAAAGGGCTAAGACCCCTGCCCTTCTTGGGGTCCAAATTCAACGAAAAAATAAGAGATTCTGAGAGATTAACAATGGAACAGCAGTAAATATTCTACGCTTCCCATTTTTCTGCTGTTTCCCACACAAGGCAGCACCCCAGACTCTCCTCCCTAGCCTCACGGGCACAGCAGCCTGCCCTGCCGCCCTCGCAGCTGCTCAGCACCCAAAGCCTCCTGCCATATATATATATGCCAGGCTGGGTGGCTCATGTATGCAGTCACAGCTACTCGGGAGGCTGATGCAGGAGAATCGCTTTAACCCGGGAGGTGGAGGTTGCAGTTAGCTGAGATTGCGCCACTGCAACTCCAGCCTGTGGTGCACAGAGTAAAGACTCTGTCCAAAAAAAAAAAAAAAAAAAATGTAAGCAAGCCTTGTCCTGCCTTCCCTACGCTGCAAGCAACATTCAGACACACCCAAACTTTACAAAGAAGAAGCAAACCCCCTGCATGCCTCCTCCACAAACTCACTGAGGACCAGAGGGGACCCCACAGTGCCGGAACCCTGACTGTCCACCTTAAGCTCAATTCTCCACCCATGCTTCAGAGCACCCTGATGGTCCCCTTGGGGAACCTTCTATTTTTAAAGGGAGAAACTGAGGCACAAGAACTAAGTGGTGGCCGTGAGGGGTCCAGGTTTCAGGCCTCCCGAGTGAGAGCTGGAGCTCTGCCTCCTTGGCCTGGTGTCTGGTTCCCTCCTTTCCGCTGCATCTCCCACCCTCTGCTGCTCACCTGCAAATAAGCAGACACCAGTTATAGAAGACAGGCAGGGCAATGGCAGTCAGCCAGCGGTAGTACAGGTTGCTGGAGGGGTCCACCACGATCGCATCCTTCTTCTTCGTCTTCTTCCTGGAAACCCACACACACACAAACAGCGCACTGTGTTGCAAGACTGTAGCTTTGGAGGGTTTGAGAGACCTGGATTCCCTTAGAGACCCTACGGCCATTTTAGGCTGAAGCCCAAGATGTGGCTGTCCACAACAGGGTCCTCTTAGTTATCAAGGGAGTCACATGGAGAGTCCCTGTAGGGGAAGACAGGCCGGGAGGCAGGGTAGACTCCAGAGGTCCTTTTCTCCCAGTTCAGTCCCAGGAAGTCACAGTTGACTATAAGGTCATGGTGATGACATTCCCATGTGCCCATGGCAACATCCACACCCTTCAGGATGCTGAGAATGAAAATGCAGCATGGCAATGTCACAGAGGTCTGCTGAAGTCTGGGGAACTTCCAGAAAATGCTGATTCCCGGGGCCCACTCATCTCCTCCAGGGCTGGGCCTGGCAATGTGCATTTAAGCATTGCCTGGATAGTTCTGAGGCAGCTCCTCCCTGGATGGAGTTGGGGAGCCCCACAGTATTCCCTGGAGAACCCTCTCCTCCTCCCTCACTGTGTTTGTGCGGACGTGGTAAAGGCTCATTTCCAAAGGCTTGCATCGCGCCTCTCCATCAAATGCCTGGGAATAACCTGTTATGTGGGCCCGCACTGAATGAAAAACATAGCTTAGAGGGCTTAGCTTTTATTCTTAGACTTTCCCGCAGATTCAAGTTGACAGGCTGTACTGGAGACTTCCTTTTCGTTAGGTCCATGTGTCCCCTCTGCCGTCCCATGTGACCCACGCTGGCCTAGGCTTGCAGAGTGCTCCTGTGTCCCATCGGAGACCCCAGGGACTTCCTGCCTTCACCGGGATGCTGGGGTGCGAGGTCACTCACCGACGGGGCTTTGGGACGTTCCCAACAGCTCTCATCACCACTGAATCTGGGTGAAAGTTTGTGAACATTGTATCTTCCAGTGCCCCAGAGAAACCCTCAGCCTACCCTGACTGTGTGGCCCACTTGTGAGGGCAAACGAAATGCTTCGAGTTCGGGGGGTCACATGAGCAGGCTCACAGGGACAGCCCCCGGCTGCCCACCTGAGGCTGCAGACGAGCAACTCTCTTTACTTGTAAGCCCGCCTTGAGTTCTCAGAGCTCGGAGAGGATTCCTTCTGCAAGATGGGGGCTTCACACGGTCTCAGGAGGCATGGTCTGCAGCCTGGGGCCGACTTTTCCTCAGCTCCAAGCACCGCCTCCCCTCCAGGGCCGACGCTAAGGCCCCCTGATAGCGTTGCTCCAAGACACCCAGCCCTGGAGCCCTGCGGGGAGGTGGGGTCAGGCCTGCTGGGACCATGGCACCCGGTCCTTAGAGGCAGCTTCCTTCAGTACTTCCTCTTCTTGTTTTAGGTAGTTTTTTCTCTCTTCTTTTTTTCTCTTCCTTCTTTTCTGCCTTGTTGCTGGATGACGCCGAGGGACATTGAGCAGTCTTCATATATCAACGACATTACCAAGTGGAAAGGGCAGGCTGCGGAGTGACGGAAAGAGAGCGCGGCGTGCGGCGTCGTGGAGAGAGGGCGCGGCGTGCGACATCGTGGAGAGGGGACGTGGCGTGCGGCGTCGTGGAGAGAGGACGTGGCGTGCGGTGTCGTGGAGGGGGGCGTGGCGTGCGGCTCGTGGAGAGAGGGCGTGGCATGCAGCGTAGTGGAGAAACGCCATGGCGTGCGGCGTCGTGGAGAGGGCGTGGCATGCAGCGTAGTGGAGAAACGGCATGGTGTGCGACGCTGTGGAGAGAGGGCGACGCTGTGGAGAGAGGGCGTGGCGTACGACGCCGTGGAGAGAGGGCGTGGCGTGCGGCGTCATGGAGAGAGGGCGTGGCGTGCGGCGCTGTGGAGAGGGGGCGTGGCGTGCGGCGTCGTGGGGAGGGGCGTGGCAAGTGGGTACTTCCAGCGCGTTGGGACGGAATGGGGTTATTGATTTGCTATTATTATTCCTGAAGCACGAGGTAAACCACCCCATTGAGCATACACTGAGAAATTAATGGCTCAGTCAAATGTTCTACAATTTCTGATCTATTTTCGTGAGCTCCTGGGAAGTCACAAACAGCCAGAGACTGGAGACGTTTTGAGGTAGGAGGACAGAGACCCGAACCCACACACTGAGGTTGGGAAAGTTACTGGGAGTTTTGGAAATCCCACTCCAGGCTCTCTGCTCTGAATGGAAGGGTGGGGCCTGTCCGTTGTTCTTGAAACCTGTCTCTGGATCCGATGAAAACCTGGGCCTTCATGAGAAAGCCAGTGAGCAAAAGGGAACCAAAATTCGAAGAGGCGGGTCTGTGACACGTGTAGTGGCAAACACATGTCGTTGCAGGCTGGCAAATGTGGCCGGGTTCAGACACTCCTTCAGACTTTGCTTGGCTGCGAGGTGGTTCCGGCAGTGTCCGCAGGACAGTCCTGTGAGCGCAGGGTTTTCTTCAACATATGACTTTACACTGCTCCCTCTTCTTTACTGGGTGTCTTTTAAGGGCTAGGAACTCTTATAAAGTTATCTAATGAATACATGTAACATTTCTTCAAGGCAGGCAGTGATGCCCCATTGAATAGTTGAGGAAACAAAGCTTGCGGAAGGGACAAGGCCTGGAGTCCCCTTTGGGTCCCTCTGATTTCTCTCTTCCACACGCTGAAGGAAGGCATGGGTTGAGAGATAAATTCTGCTAATTAGACACTCATTGAAAAAGATCCATCCATAATTACCTAACACTTCCTATGGAAATAATCGAGGCTGTGTGCAATGCGTATGGAAAAATAATCACCGCCATTATTCATGACAGTCAAAAAGGGAGAGCCACCGAATCACACCACAGTACAGGCTCATCCTCAATGGTGAATTCTATGTGGCCATTTAAAACGCTGTTTCAGAAGACATGGGCAAACAGCTCTAAGTTAAAAAGCAGACTACAAAGAGTTTATCATAATAGCTGGATCAGTTCTCTATTTCTGCCAGAACAAATTACTGCAAAGCGACGCAACATAAATGTCTTATCTTGCAGATCTGTAGGTCAGAAGTCTGCTGTGGCTCTCACCAGACTAAAATCAAGGTGTTGACAGGGCTGCCATCCCCCAGAGGCTCTAGCGGGGCTCTGATTCCTGCTCATTTGGATCTTGAACAGAATCCAGCTTCTTGCGATTGTGGTGCTGAGGTCCCTGTTTCCCTGCTGGCTGCACCTTTCGAGGCTGTGGCTTCCTTAGCTCCAGTCCCTTTCCTCCATCTTCAAAGCCAGCAGCGATGGGTCGAGTCTCCCTCACACTGTGACTCTCTTCTTCTTCCATTTACTTTTTCCGACCCACTCTTCTGCTTTTAAGGACTCATGTGATTACATTGGGCCCACCCTGATAATCCAGGATAACCTACCTGTGTTAGTCTGTTCTCATGCTGCTGATAAAGACATACGCAAGAGTGGGTAATTTATAAAGGAAAGAGGTTTGGACTCACAGTTCCACATGGCTCGGGAGGCCTCGCAATCATGGCGGAAGGCAGATGAGGAGCAAAGTCACATCTTTTGTGGTGGCAGGCAAAGAGTCTGTGCAGGGGAACCCCCCTTTATAAAACCATCAGATCTCGTGAGACTTATTCACAGCATGGGGAAGACCTGCCCCCACGATTCAATTACCTCCCACCAGATCTGTCCCACCACACATGGGAATTAGAGGAGCTACAATTCAAGATGAGATTTGGGTGGGGATACAGCCGAGTCAAATCGTTACCTATCTCAAGGACCTTGAATTTAATCACATTTACAAAGTCCCCTTTGCCATGTAAGGTAACCTGTTTACAGGTTCTAAGGATTAGGATGGTAGACATCTTTTGAGGGAGATTGTTCTGCCTACCACACAAGCCAATATTTATTGAGCACTTACTATGTACCAGGCACTGTTCTGAGCACTTTACACAGAGTAACACATTTAGTCTTCACTCCCACCCTGTAATAAGACACTATTACAATCCTCATTTTATAAACCAGGAAACAGACACACAGAGAAGTTGGGTAACCGGCTTATATGGTTCGAATCTGTGTTCCTGTCATGGTGGTGGATGTCTCATGGTTTAGCACCAACCCCTTGGTGCTTTGCTTGAGACAGTGAGTGAGTTCTCTTGAGATCTGGTTGTTTAAAGCACCTACCCCACCTTCCTTCTGCTCCTGCTGTGTAGGACTCCTTGCTCCCGCTTTGCCTTCGCCATGATTGAAAGCTTCCTGAGGCCTCTCCAGAAGCAGAAGCTGCTCTGCTTCCTGCACAGCTTGCAGTACCTCAAGCCAATTAAACCACTTTTCTGATAAATTACCGAGTCTCAGGTGTTTGTTTATAGCAATGTGAGAATGGACTAATACACTTGTCCAAAGTCACAAAGCTCCGAGGCAACTGAGTTGGGAAACAGATGCTCTTAACAACTATATGTATAAATAAAACATATTGTATCGATCTCTTTATTCAATATATATGCTTAGGAAGAAGTTGGAAGTGTATTTGTCAACATGTTAAGTGGGGCTATCTCTGAGAGTGGAATTCCACGGTTAGCATGAAGTGCGATTTTTGTGTGTGTATGCCCCCGTGTGCTCATCTTGCTTTCCAAGTTTTCAGCAAGAGTGTTTCAGTAAAGTGAATTAGAATAAAAGGTGATTAAAATCATTAAATGAAAAGAGCAAGGAAAGTTACCCCTCTGTCCTCCAGGGTGATGTGAACCCCGGTCTCTTTTCAGCCACTGGAGTCTTAACGTCAAGTCACCAGCAGACGGCGCTGCCCTCAAGCTTATTGGGTGAGCTTTGCCCTGCAGTTTAACCAGACCAGACTCAGCTTGCCTTGTGCAAGATTTGTGGCCCTGGATTACGGGCCTTCGCCTGTCCTCTGGCTACCAAACTGCCGAGGGCCTAGGAAAGACCCAGCACCATCGGCTGCATCCCCAAATCCACCCAGCACTGCCCCAAAAGAACCCTACACAGCGCTGCAAAATGCTACCGATTTTGGCTGGGAACAGTTTGATGGGGGAGGGAAAAATATTCAGGACTAAAGAGACCATATGAAAATGACAGAAACGGAGTGGAAGAGTCAGGGAAGGTGTTCATAAATAATTTTTGTGTGTGCCAGTTGTCCTCATTTTGGGACAGTTCCCAGTTTTGTCCCTTGGTCCTTGGCTTCGAAGTGGACCCGTGAAGTGAGCCCATTTATTGAAAGATTGAAGAGCTGGGTGCAGCCCATGCTATCCACCCACATCCTTGCCCACACCCCAGCCCCAGGACCTCTGTCCATGGTTTCAGTATCTGCAGCCTCTCCCTGCCTGAAAGACTGGGCTGCAAGGGTGTTTAGTGTCAGGTTTGGCTTTAAGTCTAACACAGATCACTATAGCTATTGCTTTGTAGAGAAAATCATCTCATTTTTCTTTATGGATGGTATTTGGTCTCTGGATTTGATGTCCAGATTTATGCAAACAAAAGACATGCTTCCTTCATGGAGAAAATAGAAAAAAGTTCTATCTGAGGAACAAAGAGAGAAATAACAAGAAAAACCCTTGACACATTTCTCTGTCAGTTGGAAGTCACGAAATCAGCATTTCTCACTGACACTGATATTTTTTCCCTAATCTCCAAGTGAGACTCCCCCTCCCCAGTAGTGCCACTCTGTCTCTAATCTGCCACCTTAGTATCTGGTGACGGAAAAAGGAATTACAGCAGGTCACCCTTTCAAGAGGCTATTCTCTGGACATATTTAAATTGCCTTATTTCCACTGCTCTGATTACCCCCCTAAAATTGGCCCAAATTGGCCTTAAAACAAGGGCATTTCAGGCCAGGCATGGTACCTCATGCCTGTAATCCCAGTACCTTGGGAGGCTGAGGCGGGCGGATCACGAGGTCAGGAAATCAAGACCATCCTGGCTAACATGGTGAAACCCCATCTGTATTAAAAATACAAAACAACTAGCCGGGCACAGTGGCCGGGCACCTGTAGTCCCAGCTACTCGGGAGACTGAGGCAGGAGAATGGCATGAACCTGGGAGGCGGAGCTTGCAGTGAGCCAAGATCATGCCACTGCACTCCAGCCTGGGCAACAGAGTGAGACTCCATCTCAAAAACAAAAAACAAAACAACAACAACAACAACAAACAAGGACATTTCACTGGCACTCAAGAGCCTGAGGTTGTAGAATAAGAAAATGCCTTTTCATCATTAAGGAGAATCTCCACTGCTCTGTCAAGGAGCTCCGGTTCTGCACCCTAAGATATATCGGGGTATAGATGCTACAGCTTAAAGCATTTATCTGATCCAATTCCTTTGCTTTATAGATGAGAAAAATGAGAGCCAAAGAGATCAGACGACTTCCCCAAGAAGTCACACAGATCTCATCCCTCCCCCACTTCTGTCCTCAGGGATGGAGTTCCAACGAAAGGAACAGGATTCTAAAATATTCTACTGGCGTTCTGGGAGTGGGGAGCTGGAGCACTAAGGAGAGAGGCCAAGCTGGGGCTTCTATGGGGTGGAGGGCACCAGGCTTGGGAAGGGCTCTGCAGGGCGTGTGGGTACTTACTCCTCCTCCGTGTTGTTGCTGGTGTTAGTGTTGCGTTTGGCCAGGGGCCAGGCACTGCGGGGAAGTAGAGAGAATATCAAGGGTCTGAACTTGGTTTCCAGTCCTTGGGGCCATTTCCCCAGGGGATTACCATGCCCCCCCCCCAACCCCCACCCCATCCCACTGCTTCCAGCCCTTGCACTCACAGCTTGAAGAATACGGGGTGGTATTGTCAAGGCCAGAATGCTTTGTGATTGGTTAGCTCAGATAAAAGACTTGGGGGAAGGGAGGGTGAACATGGCTAAACTGAGGCTTCTGAAGAAATGAAGATTCAGCCATTTGACTCCTTCCAGCTTCCCTGCCTCAAATTCCACTCAGTTTCCTTCCTTTCTACCCTGGATGGGGCCACGTGCCGGGCACTGAGAGGGGCACAGAAATGGACCGCACGTGGCCTCTGCCCTCAGCGCTTCCCTGCCTCTTGGGTGGAGGAGGTCTTTCACCCTCTGCCCCGGGATGGACGCAGCCTGCAGCAGCAGCCACAGCGACTTGCTCCCTCAGCTGCAAAGGCCTCTTCCAATGAGCAGGACGAGTAACTGAGCATAGGCAGGATCGTCGCTGTTTTCAGCTTCTCCTCCTATCCTCTCCTACCTCCCCAAATCTTACAACTCCAGGGCCTGACACCCCTGGTCTATGTGAGAATCTGGTTGAAGGTAAGGGCTGGTTTTGCACAAATTGGATATTTATTTGAAGTTGAATTTTGCAGTACTTCACGATGTTCTATAGCAAAAGGTATTATCTCTGACCGCCAGAACCCATTTTCAACATGGCTGGGTTAAAAACGCCAGGCGGTCTCACAGGGCACTGCAGACCCCTCATAGGAGACCACGAGAACTGGAGCTTGAGGCAGGTGACACCCCCGCTGACGCCCGGGACGCCTCTTCCGTGATGCTGGATGTCCAGCCAAATAAATGCCATTTTGATGACCTTAGCTCCTCCTGCCCAAATCTCCCTCTCCCCGTCTAAGATATGGCCGTAACCGCTTATTTCTGGATTGGTTCTGCTCATCTGAAAATCTCCCAGGAACTGGAACCGCCGTGGGATTGTGAAGGAGGGAAGGTTCAGCTCTGTGGGGGTGCAGTGGCTGTGTTCACCACGCCTCTGTGCCCGTAACCCCACAAAGCCAAGCCCACACAGGAGAACTAGGACCTGTCTCTGTATATACTTGGCTTTGCTGTAGAGACTTTGCCTCCAGAAAAATTCAAAATCCTCACCCCTAGGAAGCCTTGCTGGTTGACGGACACTATCCACTCCATCGCGTCCGTCTGCCTATGCTGACCCTGCCCTCGAGTGATTCAACAAGTGTCTGTGAGGTGGGCGGGGCTGCCCTGGATGTGGTCCTAGCTCAACGCTCCATTCGTCTGGTCCCATCCGGAAACGGACAGAGTCTAACATTCATCTCTAAGGATGTAGGAAGGTAATTTGGTCAATTTAAATAAGGAAGTCTTTGCTTGTCCAAAAGGAATTAGACCGGTCTGGCTGGCTTGCTGAGAACCTTTGTGTCCCTCCTCCCTCTTCCTCTTTCTCCACTTTGTCCTCTTTCTTATCTGTCTGTCTCCTTGTCTTTCTGTCTATGGTGTCCCCCAAGGGTACTGGATGCCCAGTCCTGGGAACCTGGGACCTCCCTGCACTTGTCTGGGCCAGTGCCCAGGCCTTCCCCAGCCTCCTTTCCACAGCCCAGGAAACCCAAGGGTTTGCAGTCCAAGCTCGTGTGAAAACTGCCCTTCCCGTCTCAGCCAGGGATTCTCACACCTTTCCCTGGGTCTCCTAAAGCAGTCACTGGTGAGACGTGGCCTTGAACTCTCACATTCCATCTTAAAAATGCCCTTGCTTTTTGCCGTCCCCTGCATCATCTATGACATACAAATACCCACTGCCACTCCCCACACAAATGTGGAATGAAAATGGATGTTCCAGAAAGATCCATTGGGTTTCCCCCTGAGACTTCATCACCTTCACACCCCAGAGACCCTCATATGCCCATTTGAGAAGCTCCAAACCTGAACCCATCTTCTCCTCACTGACATACAAACAGGTAGCTTTTTCTCTAGCAAATTATATAGGGACTGTTCTGCAATCATCATGCTTATTTGATCCCCTTTTCCCACCCCCTAGAAAATAGGTTCTGGGTGAGAATCCACCTGTTTGGGAGGCTGAGGGGAAGTCAACTTCCCCTCCACGTCTTACCTCTCCTCCCTTCCAGACAGACCAGTGTCCTAAAGAGACCCTCTACTGTTCAGTGATAATTGATTCAACCTGTGCTGACCCAGGGGTCTCTCTGCAGACCACCTGCTGGGGAGACTTCTCACGAACAAGTTAGGAGGGGAGACAGCAGCCCTGTGTCTGTGTGTAAGGGGGTGCCAGTCAGGTTTATCTCCCAGTTAGGGTGGGGGCGATGCAAGACGGTGCGCAGAGGCCCCAGGTATGCAGATTTTCCCTCCAGAAAGCAAACACCCTCCCCACCTCACTCTGCTCCCACCATTGTCCCTTCCCCACCTGGTATTTCTCAACCTGATCTGGGACACAGATGGCTCCCCTTGAAAATTCTGACCAACCTGTAGACTCTCGTCCCAGAAAAATGCATGCGTGCCTACACATAACATTGTGGATACCATTTAGACACCCCCCGAAGCTCCTGCTATAAAAGACCCCGCTTTTGAGCAAAATGGGTCATAGTGAGTCTAGGATGCGAGTCCTTTGGTGAAGAGAGATGGGTAAGGCCAGCATCCCCCGGTGAGTTTCTGAGAACACGATTTCCAGGGGACCCTAATGGGGGTTCTGTGTAGGATGAGGTGAGTGGTCAAATGAGGCTGGGGGCTCTGGTTCAAGGGTTTTCTCCTCCTGCAAGGCCTCCTGGACTCCGCAGAGGCTGTTAGACCATGTAATGCTCCCCTAAGAGCAAACACTTTCTTCAAGGAACAGCTCACGGGGACCACGTTCCAGGCCCCCTGTGCTGCATCCAAACAGGATGGAGCAAAGCAGAGGCTTCCTGCCTGGCCCCAGCAGGCGCAGGAGGCCCCTTCTTCTGTTCCGCTCCTTACCTTCTCCCTCTGTCTGCTGGCTCCTGGCTGCCCACATTTGCCTGGGTATTGCTTTCTTGGCTGGACACCTCCTTAAGCTCAGCTCCACGGGAACCATCAGGAAAAGGGTGCGGTCCCTGGTCCTGGTGGTGCACGTGCCTGACAGCCCACCTGCGCAGCCAGACGATGAGGCGCGAGAGCCTGGAAGGCAACACAGGCACTGAGCCAGACGGAGAGGAAAAGCCCCCCACACCTCCAACCCCCAGTCCTTCCCTCTCTCTTTTTCTCCCTCTCTCTCTCTCTGTCTCGAGGGGTGGGGCAGAAGCAGTGATGGCCGGCAGGGCGTGGGTGCTGGGGGCCCTGTGGTCTTCGTTTGCATCTCTGTCCCATGGGGACCGTGTATCCCCTTCTCCCTCCACCCTGCAGTCAGGGGCAGGCTTCCCCAGAAAGGGACACTCTATTACCATTTGTCCTTGTAGCCCTGGGACTCTGCCTAAGGCATGATCCTTCAAACGGGCAATTAGCTCACTCCTTTTGCCCAGTGGAGAGCTCTTTGTAATGACTGCCAAGCACAGGAAGAGTAAAGCAATGCGGGTTTCAAACGAGGACAACGTCGAGAGCAAGGTTATTTATTTATTTATTTATTTAGAAGTCCTGAGATCTGATAGAGCAAGGCTTAAAGGAACAGGCATCCAAGCACAGCCTGGAGTCTTTTCCAAGCTTTTATCTTATTGGTGTGTTCTTGTACAAACTAGAGTTTTCTCCCCAGGCCTGGGAGGTTCCTCTGCAACTTGCCCTGGGCCCCTCCCGGAGCCGGCCCTGCCTGGAGCTTGCAGTAACAACACCTGCGACCGTAGTACCAGCCCCCAGAGCTCATCTGAGTCGCACGGGCCTGAGAGGTGCCTTCCCTCCACCCTGCCTGCTGCTGCCGGTGTCTCTGCCAGAGAGGAACAGCGGGTGACAGGCCCGGAGACTCCATTCTGTTTCTCAGCTTCTGGTTTCCCTGATTTGCCAAATCCCTGATTTGGCATCTGCAGTGCCCTCCCCTGGACGGGGTGTCCCCAGCCAGAGTCGGTACTGAACAACCTGGAACTAAGCCACAAATTGTCACATACCTTGACCCTAATCACACACTTATGACCTTAGCCTAAGGGAATACACTAAGAAAATATCCCTATAGGCAGATGCTTACAGCTGCTGCCGCAGACGTATTTGGAGGTATCTGCCCAGCCCAGCCTCTCTGCTGCAGACAATTCCTGCACCCACACCCTTCCTCTGCCGAGAGGGTGGAACAAAGGTCATACTCCCTCCTCCAGCCTCAGACAATGGGACTAGGACAGACAACGGATGCACAGAGAGCCACTCAGGCCTCTGAACTGAGAGCCACTTGAAGACGGGGTTGGGTGTTTCAACTCATGGTCACATGAGAAAGGCTGTTTTCAGCCTTGTGCCGGCTGATATGGGAACAGAAAGAGCCAGAACGGAGGGGACATGCAGAAAGAAGCACAAAGACCATGAAACTCCATGAGAAAATGGGAGGGGGAAGGTGGCTACCTCCTCAGGTCCCGTTCTGCGAGCCCCACGGGCTCCGTTTCCCTGAGATAGCTTGTGTTGCTAGCTTACAACACACCCTGTGTCAGCCCTGCAGAGCTGACTTACAGGTGTTCTCTTTTTCCCTTTATGAACAAAGAACCTTAAGACAGCTGTTTATTAGTAAAATGCGAACACTGAACATCACTTACATGCCCAGCTACAATGGACTAGTTAATAAACAACGGTGGAGCAGTAGCCTTCATAATGAAAAGCATGAAGAATAAATAGATAACGTGAATTTCTTTTGCGATAATCTGAAGTAAAAAGTGTAGAACATATGACTATGTAGAACTCTGGCGTTGGAAACAACCACGTGGTGGAGGGAAATAATGAGCCTGGTGTTTGCTGGGCACCTGCCGTGAGTCGGTGCTTGGCTCTGAAGCAGCTTTCAAGCCACCTGTGGGGTAGGCACTGTTAGATGCATTTTTAGAGGAGACTTGAAAAGGCGAAATGACTTCCTCAGGATGGGGCAGCTGTTGAAGCTGGAGTACGGATGTTATCAGAGGGAGGCAGAGCTTGGAGTCTTACTAATCTTGCAAACAAATGCTTTTGCAGGGACACCTGCCCTGGGGCCCAGACGAGCACTCGGGAGACCCTGCCAGCGCTATTTCAGACCTCATCGCCATCACCCTCAGCACACCACCGCGTCCACCGAATCCAAGCTCTCCCATGGCTGGCTGCTCTTACCACCTTCACCGGTTGGCTTTTGCTCTGAAATCTTCCAAACCTGAGCAAGCACCTCAATGTCAGTTTTCATTAAGCAATTTCAGATAAAGGCGGTTTTCCTTAGACTTTTCTGAACTCAGAGCAGCTGACCCAAGAGGAAATGACTCACTGAGAGTTTTCAGGCTGCTCTGCTCCTGACCCTTTCTTTTCCACATCTTCAGCTCCACCCCCATCTAGCCCTTCTTCTGGAGAGGTCACTACCTTCTTTCTGCCACAGCGTCCCCCAGGCCAAGGTAGGGACTGAAGCCGGTCGGTTACCTGGCAAGCTCCTGGCCGGTGAAGGAGCCCTGCCCGGGCTCAGCCAGTCCTCTGGTCTCCATGGCGATCCCCGGCTGCAGCGCTGACGATGTCTCCTGGCCTGGCGAGTGGGCTCTAGGAAATCAGATATGCGGCAAGCGGGATTGATTTCAAGCCCATCCGCCTCCTGGACACAGCCAGGAGTGAGACGGTCAGATGTTCTGCTTAACAGGGAAAGCCACCCTCAGAGATCCTCATCCCAGGGGCTCCCCACTTCCCTTTGCCTCCTGCAGATGGATTCTGGCTTTTGGTATAAACGTGGCCTTTCCTTTACAGCAAGGAAGGCAGCTACTGTCCAGGGCTAGGTGAAGGGATGGGGAGGTGGCAGTACATGATGGCCTGGCCCTCATCAAAGCACTGGGTGGGGAGAGGTCCCGGGGCTTTGCCATTTCAAGCCAAAGCAGCTGCTTCCATAAAATGACTTCAGAACAAGGATTTTGGTTCCAACGCTTCTCGCCTACTGAATTTCATCTTCTGAGGCCGGATTGAATACCTGCTCCTTAGGGGTCTTCCTGAGCCTCCCTTCCTACTGCGTGTGCTGCAGCCACACTGCCTGGGCAGTTGTTTGTGGGCTTGTCTGGCAGCCTTCCTGGGAACCCACTGGTTAACACGAAGGCCCTGGAATATTGCGCAGAACTGGCCTAGCCCTCCACATCCAGTTCAAATAATTTGTACAGTGCTTTCAAATGGGACTCCACTTCCCCTAGTCCCTTTTGCCAAACACTAGGCTCTCTCTCCTGCAAGGCAGAGGTAAGGTGTGGTGACCCCCTTGTGCAATCCATTGTGGAAAGTGTGATCGCAGAAAGGACAGGTGCGCGAAACTCAGTACAAGCACCAGTCACACCAGCGGAGTCTGGTTGAATTGCCTGGAGAAAGACTAGGAATGTGTCTGGGAATATTTGCCTTTCTTTTAAACCCCCTTGGGCTGAAGTTTGATCAGCCTGATTAAAAGGCAGCCAGGCATTAGCCTCTAGGGATTTGCACTTCAGTCTACGAATCTGGAGGAGCCCAGGCAAGACAAATTAATTCTATCACGTGACCTGTTCCAACCTCATTAGCCTTCTTAACAAGGAGGCAAGAATTAACACCAGGGGAAAGCTTCGGTCTCTCCCTGGTGATTGATTAGAAGTCAGAGTCCTTGAATCCCGGTGGCTGGGCTGCTGCTTCTCCTACAGATTCCTCCCTGCCTTCTCCAGCAGCAGGGAGCTCACTCCCGTGCCCCGGTCTGTCTGGGCCATCTCTTGACTGCCCCACCTGCCCACAGATTCTTCCCTCCCTCAGCCTCCCCACACTGAGGCTATGTTTTCTGCTGGAACCACAGGGAGTCAGGTAGCTTGATCTTCTACCTTCAATGACCAGAACCTGTGCGACTTGTGGGTTTGCAGGCCAGAACCCCCAGCTCACCCAGCCATTCCTCCTTGTGGTCAAGTCTCTTCCTTGTCATGGTCCTTCTCCCATGAGCAAGTTCCTGGGGTCTTGCTTGACTGGGCAGGGAGACTGAGGCCACCCTGCTGTGACTGGAACCCACTCTCGGAAGCCTTTGTTGCTTTGTGTGTTTTGGGTGGTTTTTGATGGTCACCAGCCACCATCAGCGAAAACCCAAAGCAGTCCTGTAACACAGGCTGCTGCCAGCCAGAGGACCCCGGCTTGTGCATGTGCAACTGATTTTTTTGGAATTAAGTATTGGACGTTCCCATTGATCCGAGTCTCTCGATGTTTTGGAAGCCTTAGTATGCAGAGAACACACTCACCTTTCCTTCCAACACCATTCTACTCACAAACACAATACACAAACTACATGCCATTGAGTGGCTCTTTACTGTATGCCAGCCACATACATTTTATCATCTCATCCACACAACAACCCTGTGAGAGAGGAAATGGAAATTCAGAAAGGTTAGGCAACTTCACTGAGGTCCCACAGCCAGGTGGTACAGCCGAGATTCCAATGTTATTCCATCCCATTTCAAAACCTGCTGTCATCCACGCCTTGAAGCTGCCCTATATTTTCATATATGGCACAGATGAAAATGAAATTAAAAGCATGGCTGAGGACTGAGCCCTGTGGCGTGCCACTAGAGACATCGCTCTAATCCATACAGCTGCACCATAGGCATGGTTCTTTATTTTCAAACCATCTGATTGAATTCTCCCCTTCTACGCATAAGAAACCCGCTCTCGTCTCATTTGCGTACACGTGAAAGACCCTGTCAGAGGCCCTGCTGCAGTCCGGAAGCTACGATTCCCTTGCCCTCTTCATATTCTGTATACAATAAAGGTGGGATGCATGTTCCAATACACCTAGGTTGGTTGCAGGAGGAGGTGGCAGAGGTCCTTGGATCCGAGCAGATGGCATGGGGGTGGTGGTGTGGCAGCAGACAGCTGGGCGGAGGCCCTGTCACAGCCTGTGTGCCTGGAAGATCTGGAGGCAATCCCAAGGATGGAGGTGTTCTGCTGCCACCAGCAGCTCCTCAGGGAGCTCTCGGCACCAAGCAGTCGGCCCAGCGTTTTAGCGTAGTCTGGTTCCTGCTAATTGCATGAGGGCACATCCTGAGACCAGATTTATTTGCATTTGCGGCAAAGGAATTAGATGACATCAGAGCTGGTGGGTGGGTGAGGAGGGCAAACCCCATCCAGGATTGCAAAGCAGACCTGCAACCAGCAGCAGTGAGAGCTGTTGCATGTGGACGGGATCTGTGCTACCCACTCAGGGGGAGGAGGCAGAGTGGAAAGGTGTCAGGTCCTGGTTGGAGTCTCTGCTCCAGCACCTGCAGGCTGAGTATTCTGTTGACTGGTCACTGACTCTCTCTGGGCTTAAGTTTCCTGATCTTCACAAAGCAAATAAAGTGGATTTCAGTGACCAGAAAGGCACAACTGTCCGTAAAGAACAGGGAGAGCCTTATATGATGCAAGTTCAAGTTCCAGGGGCCTGATGGGGGTGCCCGTTTCTTCCCTATGCCTTGCCCCACTTCCTTTTTTTTTTTTTTTTTTTTTGAGACGTTGAGATAGAGTCTCGCTCTGTCACCCAGGCTGGAGTGCAGTGACCAGATCTCAGCTCACTGCAAGCTCCGCCTCCCGGGTTTACGCCATTCTCCTGCCTCAACCTCCTGAGTAGCTGCGACTACAGGCACCCGCCACCTCGCCCAGTTAGTTTTTTGTATTTTTTAGTAGAGATGGGGTTTCACCATGTTAGCCAGGATGGTCTCGATCTCCTGACCTCGTGATCCGCCCGTCTCGGCCTCCCAAAGTGCTGGGATTACAGGCTTGACCACCGCGCCCGGCCGCTCCACTTCCTTCTCAAGGCCTGAAATTCTGTTAGATCAATGTCTTTCTTTTAGCTCCAGAGCTCTACCTATGTTAAATGCCTGGGGGTGTTTACATAGTAAACCTCATTAATTACTTCTCCCAGAAACTGATTTTACCAGGCAGATGGAGGGGAGGTGGGAAGAGAGGAGAGGAACTGATGTCTGTGATGACATTTGGAGTCCCCAAGGACACACAGGTACCAAAAAAAGGGAGATACTTTGGCAACTAATGCAAGAATGGTAACTAGAGTCTCCCTGGGAAATGAGAGTCTTGGGGCCAGGCTCTGTCCTGCCTGTGGCTGGTGGAAGGGCCTGGGGCAGTGGCTTGACAGGACCTCAGTCTCTGTACAATGAACAGACCAGGCCAGGACAACCCTGGAGCTTCCCTCCCACGTGTGGGTGGCTATTCTAAGATCCCACGTGGGGACGATGCCTTCCCAGGAAGAGGCCCCCCTGACGTTGGTAGTTGTCAAGAACAAGAACAACTAGTAGAATGGAGAGAGCTGCTTTGAAAGACAACATAATTTTCACCTTGTAATGCCCAAGTTCTACGTTTATTTGCACAGAGGAATTAATGTTGGTAAGGTGAAGGTTTCTTGTCACTGGGCGAGGACAGGGGCTCCCACGAGAACTGGAACTGGAAATTAACTTTGCACTTGGTGAAGCATCTGATGTTTTCCAGCAAGATGGGTTTGGGGACGTGAGAGTAAACAGAGGTGGCCTTTCAGCACAAGGATGGGGAATATGACACTTGAGTTTCCCCCTTCTCAAGCCCTGAGGAACTTGAATGATTGTAATCCTCTGCTGCTGGCCGCATGTGGTGGGGACTGAAGCCAATGCAGTTTTAAGTCTTCGGTCCTGGAGAAGCGGGATGAAAATTGTTTTCTTCGGTGGTAATTGCTTTGGGCTCCGCTCAGGGAGTAACACAAGAAGACCACTCTTCTGTCAGACACAAACCCCTGTGCCCCAAAGCTCATTCAAAACAGCTACACCAGGAGATGGATCCAGGATTTACGGTGCCCTCAGTCCTAGCTGCAGTTCTTTGTAGCAGAGAATAGCCTGCTTCTATTGCCTTATCCTCACAGATATGCCAGACAGCTCTTAAATCATTGAGCCAACTAAGAAGAGCTAAGTAGAAAAGAAAAACTCAAACTTATTTTTGGTGTTTTCAGGGTGTAAAATGTTTTCATTCAAATGAAGTGTTTTCATGCTTCCTTATGACGTTCCACTATAAAAATAATTCCAATAACTTAAAAACTGGGCCTCCAATTTGGTGAAAAGAGTTTGGGGCAGGGAAGTCTCAAGGGACAGAGACTTGGCTGTGCCTTCCTCTTGGGGGCAGTCAGCGAGGGGCCACACCCACACGCAGGCTCCCAGTGCAGCCTTCTTGGTATCACTGAAGATAAAGAGTGATTAACATTCGTGTACCCCAATTCTCAATCATTTATCTCAAAAGTTTTCCAAAAGGACTGGAATTTCAAGACAAAGAGGTGTGGCTTGTCCAAACACCGTTTCTCTTGGTTCCAAAATAGTGATTTGAAACTTAAAACTTTTTACGTGGTAGGTGCCGGAGTCCTTTGTTCAAATCAGGTGGATAGACAGGTGCGGGGCTGGGCTGGGAAGCCAGGGAGGGGCTGGGCCCAGCCTCCATCCCTGAGGCCACTGTACCCCATCCTGAGCACACATTGTCATTCCTTTGTGATTCCAAGGAACGTTCTGAAAATTGCTGGCTGGTTAAAGCCACTCTTGCCTCTGTAAGATAAATCATAGCTCTCTCATAAAGGAAGCGCTCTTTCTGTCTCTCATTTTGAAATCTCGGTGGTGTTTCCATGGGATACTGTGTTAATCTGTCAATTTACCATGCGAAGGGTAGGGCTGAGGCCTGAGTGGAGCTCAGTAAGCCTCAGCTGGCGGTCAGGCTGAGACAGCAGGGCTTGGACACGGGCAGGAAATGGGGCTATCTGAGGTCAAGGAGAAGAGACCAGAGAAGGCCCACAGGAAGAAGTAATCATTTCCAAGACCGGGAGGGAGAGTCAATGGGCACTCAACTACACAGCAGGGGCCGTGCCGGGACCTCTGCATTCACCTCTGCTGTAACCTCACCACAGCCCTAGGAGGCAACACCAGTACCGATTCATATTGCAGATGAGAAAACTGAGGCTTGGAGCCGTTGAGCAACTTTTCGTAGCAGGTCAGTTGCAGAGCCAGTGTTCAAACCCGGGCAGTCTGACCCAAAACCTGTGCTGTTAAACCATCATTCTGGTCACAGAAAGTGCAAAGGAAGGAGAAGGGAGGACCTTTTCTCACCCATGCAGACGACAAATAGCATTGTCAAAGGGCATCAGTTCAGAGCCGCTGACCATGTGGCTGATCCCTAGAGCATGCTGTGACCCTTGTCAATGTGCATTCCAGAGTGAGCCTGCAGGGAGTGTGCTGGAAGCCAGAGGCCGGTGACTGGTATTAGCGTGGCTTAACAAGCTAGCAATTCATTTAGCAAATGGTCATCTTCTAAGAGGCCTTGAAAGCCCTCTTGAACAGGCCACAGGTCAAGCTGGGCGTGGAGGTCACTGGCCAAAGCAGAGCCAGGGTGAGTCAGCAGGACCGCAGTGCTGTCAAGTCAAGCAGACATTGTGGGCAGGAGCCGCAGCAGCCTACAGACCAGGCCTGCCTTCTCCTGGGTGCCTACTCCAGTGAATATCTCACTGGAAGGAGCCGGACTGAGATCCCATTACTGCCTTCTCTGCCTTAGGGAAGCTGGAAGCTCCATGAGATGCTTGGGTCATGCCCCACTCCAGGCAAGTGGGGTGCAAAGAGGAAAAGTTCCATTCTGCTTCAAAATCTTCCTGATCCTGACAGCTTCTGGTCCTTCTCCCAAGGTCGTGGGCCCAGGATTCTGTGCCCCATCGTTGGGCTCCTTCTGCCTGATGCCCTCTTTTGATACTCTCTTTGAAGCCCTCTTCAAGGGGCTCTATTAGCTCACACATGGGAAATAAACTATTAAAACATACAAATATTTCAAGAGTGAATACAGTCCTAATAGCGTTCTTTGTTCTTTGAAATAAGGAGCAATGCCTTAATTTAGAGGACTAAGTCTCCAGTGGTAGGACACAGACATTGAAAAAGGGCTAGTTAGGATAAAGGTATTTGAGTAGGATGGAATTTTCTGATGCTTCTGAAGCTATATCACACTTCCTGGGGCCCCAGCACAGAGTTAAATGGTTGGAGGAGATAAGTATCTGTTGGGATGCCCTGGGATCTTCCTTCCTTTGCCGAAATCTCAGAAGGTGGGGTTCAAGGGCTGTGTGGGTTTGCGTAATGGGGACTCAATCTCTTTGAAAATTATTGACCATCACTTATTAGCAGAGTTTGCTGCAGAGCTGGGATCAAGAACATAGATAGAGAAAAAACCAGATGTGCATTTGGGAGAGGAAGTGATGAACACAAATGAATGGAAGAAATGAGGCACGACGGCCCAGTGCTGGGAGGTGGGGACTGAGGGATGTTACTGCATTTTGGGGCCGTCAGACTGTGTATTTAAGCTGCATAATTTTCAATTCTATATATGTAGGGTGAAAGTAACAGAAATATTGGAAAGAAAGTTACTCATGGTTCAACTCAGTCATCTCATTGAGAATTTAAGAAACATGACCGGGTGCAGTGGCTCACACCTGTAATCCCAGCACTTTGGGAGGCTGGGGCAGGTGGATCACCTGAGGTCAGGAGTTCGAGACCAGCCTGGCCAACATGGCGAAACCCCATCTCTACTAAAAATACAAAAATTAGCAGGGTGTGGTGGCAGGTGCCTGTCATCTCAGCTACTAGGGAGGCTGAGGCAGGAGAATCACTTGAACCCAGTGAGCTGAGATTGCACTACCGCACTGCAGTCTGGGTGACAGGGTGGGACTCTGTCTCAAAAAACAAAAACGAGAAAACTAAAAACAAAGAAACATAAGGGTTTAGGTCCATGCACACTAAATAGGTCCCTTCTGATGTCCTCACTGTTATACCAGGAGCTTGGAAAAAATGCTGTTCCATTCTGCAGGTGAAGAAATTGAGGCATGGAGAGGTTAAGTGCATTTTTCCAGGTCTGCTAGGAAGTTAGGAACAGGGCTCGAAGTAGAGCTCAAGGCCCCAGATTTCCATTTCCTACCCGTGTCAGGATGTCATTGGTGGGGCTGATGGCTTGGCTGACAAGGCACTACCCACTCCCTATACAGGCCCTGGGCATGGCCTGCCTCCAGACGCTCCCCTGGAAGCGAGGGCAGGGCATTGGATTCATGCTACATCCTTGGCGCCCAGCTCAGGCTGCAAACCCAGTTCGGTGGCTGGTGCACAGCAAGAGTCCAACACATTTTTGATGAATACATGGGAGAGTGTGTCAGTTTGAGGAAGTTCTTACAGTAAAATTTAGTCTGCTGCATTTGAATCTTCATTTTCTGATAGCAATTAAGTGACTAAACCTGCTTTTCCACATCTCTAAAACAATAATACAGACTAGTTTCTGGGGGTTGTGAGGATTAAGTGAGATGAAAAATGAAATTGGCAGTGCTGTGAATGCCTCCCCTGCCCTCCGACCTGTGGTTGGCCAACGTGAAGGCGTTCTTCCCCCATAGTCTAGATCCACTGTGGAAACGACCAGAGCCAGGCATAAAACAAAAAGCCCATCTTACCTACTGAGGCCATTTTCAGCACGGTCGAGATCTCGGTCTGAGGGCTTTACCCTGAGGTGGGTCCTGGAGGAGTGGGAGTATTGGGTGTTGATCTTGGCCATCTTCTTGGTTTGTCACATTTAGCCCCCCAGATGATTGCTGAAATGTGAACACAAAGCAGATACGTCATCAGGACGGGAAAGTAACTGCAAACCCAGCTCATCACGGACAAGGGCTACCGCATGCGGCCCCCCTGCAAGCCGTGGCAGGCACGCCCTCCGCTGTCTCTTGTAGATCCTGCAGCAGTGAGTTTTAGTTGGACATCTTCGGGCTCTTCTTTCTAGCCTGAGGCACAAAGTCTTTTACTTATTTGTTTCTGTTACCATGCTGACGAGCTGCTCAGAGTTAAGTGCTGAACGAGCGAATGAATAAATAAATGAATGGCCAAGTGGGAATGTGATATAAGGAAGGTAAAGCCCTTATGATTCTCTGAGATAATGCAATGTCCCTCTTGGCCCTTCTTTTCTTGTTTCCTTATTTTTATCTTAGAATTTGGCAGGTGTTTCCACTGCTCCCTCAAATCTTGCTTTAAGACAACACGTAAAGAAAGGACCATACGTGACGTTCAGAAAACCTTTATAATATAATGCTAAATCCAATATCACTTCATCTCATTAATCCTCACAATAACTTTGTGAGGTACTTATTATTTTTATTCCCATTTAATGATGAATAAACTGAGTCTCAGAGGTGTTAAGCAGCTTGTCCAATGAAAGATAGATCCCACCTGTCAATGTGGTACAATCCTTGTGAAATCGCCTTGAAAAATTGTAACTAAGGAAATTATGGCAGTGAAAGACATCAGACCTAACCAATTCCGTCTTGCTTCTAACCTCTAAACTGTCCTTATTCATTCCTGGGCGTAGGCTGAACTAGCCTTGGGGAGGAATTTAATTTATAATTTAAATTAAAGCCCTTACCCAAAGCTAAACTGTTTTTGTAAAACAAATGAAAGCCCACCAGCCACAAAGTTAGAATGAGAGGGGCTGGAATTCTAAATATTATCAGCCATTATTCCAGAGGTCGTAAGATTCGCAACTTCCCCAGTTACTGTTAAAGGCAACATCTCTATTGTGAACCTGAGATCGGCCTTTTGAGATATTTTTTCAGGTTTTCACATTTCTAACAACGGGGTGGCCACACCTTGACCTACCAACCAGTTCTGTGGCCCTCACCCAGTAACTGACTCAGCAGAACAGAACAGAGTCAACTCCCTATGATTTCATCCCTGAGCCAGCCAATCAGCACTTCCGATTCACTGGCCCCCCTACCCACCAAATTATCCTTAAAAACCCTGATCCTTGAGTTTTGGGGGAGGCTGATTTGAGTAATAATAAAACTCTGGTCTCCTGCACAGACAGCTCTGTGTCAAATACTTTTTCTCTATTGCAATTCCCCTGTCTTGGTAAGTTGGCTCTGTCTAGGCAGTGGGAAAGGTGAACTCCTTGGGCAGTTACACCTGTGCCAGAAATCAGGCCGTGAACATTTTCTCTTTGGCAAACATTGGAAGGTGCCTCTGGACTGAAAAGAAAGCCTACATGGGAGCAGGGCTGGTGTGATTGGCCAGGTCCGTGATTTCTGGACAAGTCTTTCTGGAAGATGCATTTCTGAGGATGGTTTCTCTAAAACAGATTGGCACAGGTTCTCTTGAGCAGCCACGTGGTTTAAGTGTGTCAGATGTCAGTAGAGACCACTCCGAAGAAGGATGGCAATTTCTAGAAATAGCCCAGGGACTCACTCCAGGACTCAATTAATTCCATATCCAAAGGAAGGTCGGAGACAGGAGCCATGGGTGTGGCCATGCACATCTGGCCAACCCTCTGCCAGTTACGAAAGGGCAGCCATAGGCTCAGCAGGGTCCCGACTTGTCTCTGATGTTTGAAAGTTTAAGTCTATGAGTTTAAATTTTCTAGTTTTCCCAATAGATCAAACGTTGTTTTGATTTTTAAACACTTTATTCATTTTTGCAACAAGGAGTGAGTTTCTGGCTGATCACAGGAGCTATAAAGAGAAATCGAATGAAGCCTGTTCTCAAGGATCTGACAGTGTGGTGGGGCAGGTGCTACAACAGGCTTTGCAGGTTGTGCCCAGGAGCTTGGGCCTTACCCTACCAAGCCCACTAGGAATGTGGTCAGATGTGTACAGGCCACTCTGGCTAGACCAGGGAGGATGTATTCAGGGAACATGAGTGGCTGTGAGGTGAGCAGCTAAAAAGTTGTCACAGTTTCTTAGGGGAGTGAGAACAGCTGCCTGAACTAGCTTTGTGGTGGTGAGAGCAAGTGGGTAGAATTGCCAGGACATGGCAATTTAGGTATAAGGGGTGGGGAGGAAGAGGTGCTGAACACAGTGTCCAAACAGCTGGTTTGATGGGGGGTGCTGCCTGCCCACTGAGGCAGGGAAATAGGAGAGAAGCAGGTTAGAGAAAGAGAATGATTCCAGTTTGAGTTGCCTGCAAAACTTTAGGACCAACATATGAAATTGTATTCTTCCATTAAAAGCAATAAATCTGGGGAGGGACCAAGGTGGCCGACCAGAAACAGCCGAGGTCAGAGGTTCTCACCAAGGAGAATGAAAATGGTGAGTGAATCCTGCACTAGCAACTGAGGTGTCCAGGTTCTCTCAGTGGGACTGACTGGGCAGGCCCACGGAGAGTGAGAAAAGCAGGGTGGAGCGCCTGCCCACCCGGGAGGGGCACAGGGCAAGCGGACCTCTGACTCTTGGCCAAAAGAAGCGGTGAGTGATTGTGCTGCCCTAACCGGGAAACCTCGCTTTCTCCATGGATCTGTGCTATCCGCAGATCAGGCGATTCCCTCGTGAGCCCCACACCACCAGGGCCTTGGGTCCCAAGCACAGAGCTGTGCAGATTCTTGGCGGCCGCTACACTAGAGACGGCCTAAGATTACTGAGCCCCTCCGGGGAAGGGTGGCCACCATCACTGGAGCTCCAGTCTGCCATTTTCCCCTGCTGGTGTCGTGGAGACTGGGCAGTTTGGACCCGTGAGGAATTTCCCACAGCACACCACGGTGGCTGTGGCAGACTGTGGCCAGACGGCCTCTTTAGGCTAAACCAAGACCCATCCCACCTCACCAGGCAGGGCCTTCCCGCTGGAATTTCAGCAACTCCAGCCAGGGGCTGGATGTCCCTGGGTTGGAGCCCCTCGGGAGGAAGGGCAGCTGCGGTATCCACAGAATAGTGGACTTAGTCTCTCCCCTGGCTGGCTCTGAGGAATCAGGGCTGTCTGGATGAGTGGGATCTCCCACAAGTGCAGTGCACGCCCTCTGCTAAGAGTCAGCCAGAGTACTTTGTTAAGTGGGTCCCTGATCCTGTGCTTCCTGACTGGGTGAGACCCCTCAACAGGGCTCAGCAGAAACCTTATATGGTCACATTCTTGCTGGCATCAGGTCAGTGCCCCTTTGAGAGGGAGCTCCCAGATGGAGGAGCGGGCAGCCGTCTTTGCTGTTCTGCAGCCTCCACTGGTAACACCTCCAGGGGCAGGAGGGACCCAGGTGAATAGGATCTGGATTGGATCCCTAGGAAACTGCAGCAGCCCTACAGAAGAGGGGCCTAACTGTTAAAAGAAAAATAAACAAAGCAACAACAGCAACAGCATCAACTAAAAAGTCCCCACAAAAATCCCATCCAAATGTCAGCAGCCTCAAAGACCAAAACAAGATAAACCCATGAAGATGAGAAAGGATCAGCCAAAAAATGCTGAAAACTAAAAAAACCAGAGTGCCTCTTCTCCTCCAAATGATCACAACATGTCAACAGCAAGGGCACAGAACCGGGCTGAGGCTGAGATGGATGAACTGACAGAAGGAGGCTTCAGAAAGTGGGTAATAACAAACTTCGCTGAGCTAAAGGAGCACGTTTTAACCTGATGCAAAGAAGCTAAGAACCATGATAAAACATTACAGGAGCTCTTAACCAGAATAACCAGTTGAGGGAGGAATATAAATGACCTGATGCTGCTGAAAAACACAATACGAGAACTTCACAAGTATCAATAGCCAAATAGACCAAGCAGAGGAAAGAATTTCAGAGCTTGAAGACTATCTTGCTGAAATAAGACAGGCGGACAAGATGAGAGGAAATAAAAGGGAAAAAGAATAAACAAAACCTCTGAGAACTATAGGATTATGTAAAAAGACTGAACCTATGACTGATTGGGGTATGTGAAAGAGATGGGTAGAATGGAACCAAGTCAGAAAACACCTTTCAGGATATCATCCAGGAGAACCTCCCCAACCTAACAAGACAGGCCAACATTCAAATTCAGGAACTCCAGAGAACTCCAATAAGGAGCTCCATGAGAAGATCAACCCCAAGATACATAATCATCAGATTCTCCAAGATCGAAATGAAGGAAAAAATGTTAAGGGCAGGGATTACAGGCATGCGCCACCACGCCGAGCTAATTTTTGTATTTTTAGTAGAGACAGGGTTTCACCATGTTGGCCAGACTGGTCTCGAACTCCTAACTTCAAGTGATCTGCCTGCCTTAGCCTCCCAAAGTGTTGGGATTATAGGAGTGAGCCACCAGACCTCAGTAGGCTGAGGCAGGACAGTCACTTGAACCTGGGAGGTGGAGATTGCAGTAAGCTGAGATTGCACCACTGCACTCCAGCCTACGTGACAGAGCAGGACTCTGTCTAAAAAAAAAAAAAAATGTTAAGGGCAGCCAGAGAGAAAGGCCAGGTCACCTACAAAGGAAAGCCCATCAGACTAACAGTGTACCTCTCAGCAGAAATCCTACAAGCCAGAAGAGATTGGGGGCCAATATTCAATACTCTTAAAGAAAAGAATTTGCAACCCAGAATTTCCTATCTGGCCAAACTAAACTTCATAAGCAAAGGAGAAATAAAATCCTTTTCAGACAAGTAAATGCTGAGGGGATTCATCAGCACCAGGCCTTGCAGGAGCTCCTGAAGGAAACACTAACTATGGAAAGGAAAAACTGTTACTAGCCACTACAAAAATACACTGAAATACAAAGACCAACGACATTAGGAAGCAACTACCTCAATAAGCCTGCAAAATAACCAGCTGACATCATGATGACAGGATCAAATTCATACATAACTATATTAACCTTAAAT